TGATGTTGAATTAAATAGAGTTATAATGATGTATCATATAAAATATGATCGTAATCCACAAGTTATGTCTTGAAGTAAATGTAAATTGGAATGGAAGAGGCATATGACCACTAACTATGATAAACAAATCCAACAACACAACCCAAAAATATTGTTTTAATTTGTTAAGAAAATTAATGGAACCCAAGGTGAAAAACTTATTAGCACAATAACCCCATAAAAGACAGAGAAGGGAGATAAAATAAATAAACAACATTTTAAAAAAGGATCAAATTTAAATTAAATTTTTCAAATTTATTGCTTTAACTTTATGAGTATGACAGCAGTGTCATATCTCTCATATTATATTATTTTATTTGCTGATTTTAAATCATTAAAATGAAAGGGTAACTTAAAATTGATGATATTTACCATCAGCTAACTAATTGATTATAATAATAAACCTTACTTAAATGATTTCATATTTCTCTTGCTGATGATTTCATATTTATAGGTCCATGGATTTTTCAATAAAAAGAAATCATCAAATAAAATCCACTTTTCACAGTACATTGAGAACTAAATGCAAGTCTCGGATTATCTTGACTTAGACCTTGAAAAAAGATCTCCTAAAACCATGTCTATAATATATTGAATCCATGTACAAGTTCAATGATTCAAACTGTGTGAGAAGAAAAAGTGGAATGTGGTTAATTAGCTGAGGGTATTTCTCCAAAAAAAATGATGGTGCTACTGCTAGCCATATGACAGAAGTTGGTTGGAAAGGAGGAGGAGCAGGCACACCACAGTTATGCAGGAGGAAAAACACCAATAAGTAATCGTTTCAGAGCCCCCTGAGTCCAAAAAACACATTTTTAGCCATTGGTGTGTCTGTCTGTGCCAAGATTTTCTCTGGAACTATAGAACTGATTTTGTTGCTTCTTTTTTTATTTTGTAGGGTTTTGACTACTGATGCCTGTGCAGGAAATTGGGTGCTCCATGCGCAATAGCTGCTGCGCAATAAATTAAAAACATGTTTTTATATAGACTGTAGCGCGAAAACGGCTCTAACAATTTTGATGAAACTTTTCTATAATGTTCTAATAATTGTCCTTTCAATTTTAGTATGTGAACTAAATTCCCAAAAAAAATCAGGAAAAAAAATTATAAAGAAAAGAAAAATATGGTAAAATTTATAAGCAAGCTTTTGAAAGGTAATTAAATTACCAACAAAACAAAAAAAAATCATTGGAATCGAACCAGTACTAGCAATGATACAGCGTATTGTATTTTCTTCATAGATTTTAATTTATTACTTTCCTACCTATATGTAGTATTGCTAAGGAATGTATTGCGATCGGGTCAAATTTCCGATGTGCAATTTTTGATGGATCTATATGTTTCAGAGCCCCCTGAGTCCGAAAAACACATTTTTTGATGTGTAGTTAAATAGCCTGGTTTTTTGATAGGTAGTGAAATTCCCTACAAAACTATATACAAATCGTTCATTTCGGAAAACTATTAACGAAGTTACAGCTATTCAATTTCCTATGTAAGATTACAGGTACACATCCTGTTGTCAGAAAGGGGTGAATGAGAGAAAAAATATAACTTAGTGAAAGTGAGAAAATTTGTTGCCTGCATCACACAGGCTTCACTATTACCTCTACTTTTAACATAAATTATTGTTTGACAAAATTAGGCTATGGCAAAAAGTTTTTGATCAAGTATATTAGAAGGTATTGAAAATGTTTACACTAATCTACCTTAAGCCGGTTTACATTGCTTTAGTTTATTAAATAAATCGTACTCAAATCTTTTCTTTGATCAATTTTCAGGAAGATAAATTTAATTCAATTTTTTTGTTGCCATATGTGAAGATATAAAAACTTTTTTGAAAGAGGTAGGAAAGTCGTGCGAGTGGGCACACCAGATTTTTTTTTTTCATTACTGACCTTGTCCAGAAACTAGTTCTACAGCTAATGATCCTCCACTGTTATTAGTCATATTATTTTCCAATAATAGTTGGTAGAGAAAAAAAAGCAACATAATTTGATATAATGTTCATTACGGAGTTGTAGCTTGACCACTATCTATAAATTTATTGGGGATTTTGTGCAAAGCTTTGAAAAATATTTGATTCCCTATGGTCTAATCTATAGCCTAGTTAGGAATAAATTCACTGAATAGAACTACTTAGTCCTTGCTGTGGAAACAATATGAGCTACAATCTGTGAGTTATCGGAAGGAGGCAGGTACTCGTCAGACAGTCATAAATACGATGAAAGACCTAGATAAATGGATATGGAAATGGGAATAAAATTATTTTATTTTTCTGATAAAATAAAGCCGTGACACTGTCCTGCCAAGTGAAAAAGTAGCTAGCATGTGACACTGTCCTGCTAAGGTAGCATGTGAATAAAAACAGCTTCACCATCTTTAGCAGTTTTCAATAATTCTCCATCGAACTTGAGGTTAATGATATTTCATATCATGCATCCGTAAAGCTTCAAAACATGTAGTTGTCCTAGCATTTAGCTTTAATAAAGCATTTTTCTTAAGATGAAATTTTAAATAAATTTAAATTTATTAGTACCTATGTTTTTTTTGTTTTGTTTTTTTGTACAATTGTTGAAAATATTGTTTAGATATTATCATAAAGAAAAAGGTACTTTCATTAATATTTTAAATTATGAAATTACTACTATATTGCTTAACACAATATAAAAGTCAATAATTACATAGTCATATAGCCATACTTTTTATTAATTCTTTAAGCTCATCATTGCTGCTAAATGTTTTTATGTTGTAAGATAAAAAATTATGAGTCATGTAATTTAAAATTAATCAACATAACTTTGTTAAATAAAACTAATCTTATCAACAAGAATTTATAATTAAAACTGTTCCTTATAAAAATATAAAACAATCACATGCATATAACAAAGCTCCATAGCCTCAATAAATTAATTGATCAGCAAAAAATCTCAAATCTAATTTCAAATTAGAAATTATTATTTTGAAAAAATAATTCCGAAATACACGGGTATTGAGAAATAAAACAACCGTTGTAATAAATAAAATGACTTTACCTGTATATTTCAATCAAAATATCATATTCATTTATGAATTTATCTTTTCCTTAATGATTAATTTAAATTAACAACACTAATAATCAGAGATAAATTAAGTGACAAAGCTCCTTTCAGCTCATCAACAAATAGTAAAACTTTAAAAATACTTCAACAAAATTTATAATTTATAAATCTATAAATAACAAAAACATAATGGCACTAAAATCCTAAGCTAAATTATAAATATAACTAATCCTCAATCCGCAATGTTTCAAATCATCAAACAAATACATGGCAATTATATAATCACAGCATACAAATGTTCATAGAATTCTATACAAATGTTGAAGCAACTTTAAACTCTTTTAAACCACATGCATTTTCTTCTTGTTTACAAATTTAATTCTGACTTAGTCATACACTTGTCAGTCGATAAAGTAAACTCTATAAAACTAAACTGTACAAAAAAGTTAGGTTAATTGCATACTTAAGTAAATGTATTAACTTAGCTATAGTTTATGTTCAGTCATTATTATTTTTAAAAAATATTGTAGTGTAATTTTGTTCTTGAAACTAATATGAACAACTATTGTTGGAATTTTACAGTTACTATTGTTAAAATATAACAATATTTTGTTATAAATAACCAATGTTGAAAAAATAAAGTAAAATTAAGACAATTAACAGACATCAAGATAAATATAAATTATATTTTAGGTTTGAATTCAAAATTTCTTTAGCTTAAATTAGGTGATATGTTTTTTAAAAATAATAAAAGATGGAAAGATTGAATAGTTTCAGAAAAATGGGATCATTTTGTTAATGTTGTTAGAAAAATACAAGGAATGTTTGTTTTTGCTTAAAGGCGTAAAACACTTGGGTCATCAACGCCTGAGAAAATAAAATAAAATAATTTTGTTCATAAATATTTCTTTGACTATTTATAATAAATTATTACTTCTATCTAGAATGAAAATGAAATAAATCCAAAATTTAATATTTAAGTAATTTGATAGATATGTTTTATTTATTCGATTATTAAAAAAAATAAAGAAAACTTATCTTTAATCAAAAATATCCTTTTTGTGACTAATTGATTCTTTAGTAATCCAATATCTAAATACACTAAGAACTTCCATATAAAATATAAAACAATATAGGTTGTTTCGTGCCAGCAAGTTTTTTTATTAGTGCAATTTAAGCAGTTTTACATAGTGAAAAGAAATTTTGAATACAAAAAAAAAAAAAAAGAAAGAGAGTAAATTAATAAATTCATTAAGTCCATTAGTGAATTATTGAGTAAAATATTAATAAGATTTTATCAGTCTTTCTAAAACAACAACTGAAACCTTAGTAAGTAACATACATTTAACACTGTTAGTTTTAAAAATTCATAAAGACTCAGAGCAGAAAATAATGTATAAAATAAGTAATAATGAATTAAGTTATCTTTCCTTGTTGGAATGACATGAATTATAACTAATATAATTATTTATTTATAAAAAAAAATATGCAAATTGCCTAAATTTATTATAACTTCTGTCCAATCTTAAGAATTAAAGATGAAATAAAACAAAGAATCATCAAGTTAACATATAAGTAATTGGTATTTTAAAACAGAGATTAAACATACTTTTTAATTTTTAAAGTATAGATTGAAAACATATTAACTATTGAAATATTAAGTATAGCTTAATAGTATACTAACATCTTGACTGTCTTAAAAGCCTTGCAATACCAATGCTACAAAAACCTTCATTTCTGCCTGAGTAAGGATTACCACAGAGGTGGATGTCTTGTTAGTTGAAAAAACAAAAACAAAGAAACAATCAACTAATACATACTCATTCACTGATGTAATGATAAAGACATTCTTACATCTGCCTACAAAAATAATAGTTTTGTAAAATAACCATCAGTGAATGAGCAATGTGAGCGCAAAGAGTGTTACAAAAGGCCAGCAACAGCACGCTTTGCTATTCCAGCAAGATAAGTGGAGCTTGCCTCTGATCCTCCCTCGACCTGCCTCTCAACAGTGCAGCCTTCTTTAGAGAAACGTACTTTCTGAGTTTCCACAACTTCAACTGTTTCTGAGCCAGTCTGAAATAACATTGTAATAGATAAATTATTTCATAAGATAAACAATATTAAAATAATTTTTTCTTAATTAGGATAAGTTTTTACAGTTAAACAATAGTAAAATCATAATTTAAAACAATTAATTAAGCAATAGTTCAGGAAAATTTATATCTAGTCTGAATGTTTTTGTGATTTTTCAATAATTCATAGCTAACTTTTAACTTCTAAATTTTTTGTTTCATAGTTGTACAACTATGTAAAATAATGATTGAACAGAGAGTTCCTGGTAAGTTGGTTAGATTGACAAAGGCATGTACAAATGACCCTAAATGTCGAGTTCTAATACAAGAAGAAGTATCTAAAGCCTTCAATGTTTGAACAGGCTTACTGTAGATGAACTATCACCGATGTTGTTCAACTTAGCCCTGGTGAAGGTGATAAGAACATCACAGGATAATAGAGGGGTCAAAATAAATCATAAAATCCTTAGATACGCAGATGATATCACTGTGCTTGGAAGTAATCAAAGCAACGTCCTAACACTATAAACGTCCTATACTATAGAATTGATAAACATCCTATACACTATAATAAGCTGAATCTCTGATAAGAGAGGAAGACCAGATCAGCCTACAAGTAAATGAAGACAAAATAAAAATATGGCAATAAGCTGAAAATTCCACCCACATAACACGATCTGTTTTCCATTTTTTTAATATCTCCACTTGACAATAATGCAATTAACTATGTGTGAATAGGCTGGTGAAATAATTCAGCAAGAAAATAAAGGCAAAGAAAAAGATGATAAGGGGGAGTAAAAAAGGAACCCAGAAGTATATAGTCTTTCCTTCATTTCTGATTCAAAGATAAAACTTTCTGAGAGCTATCATATAACCCTCATTTCCAACTTATTATTCCATTTGGTGGATTGAGATTACTTACAAGGGTACGATCTGTATCACTCCACCAGGGTGAGAGGTATCCTTCTGATGCAGTGTGGAATGAACTGCTTCTACTCGGAGGTGTGCAAGTGCATTCACTTGCTGTGACAAACTCCTCCTCTTCACACGTTTTCGAACTGCTACTGTCTCCTGCGCTCTTTTCCAAGCTACCATACCAGTCCTAAACATAAACAATTCTTTTATTATTACATGCTTACATTATTTAGGTATATTCTAAAGGCCCTAATTAAAGACTTATCAGCATCTAGTTTTTATTTTATCACTGATAAAATTGTAATTTTTATATAATCACTAAACAATATTAATTACATAATAAGTCATCTTTCTATAAATGACACTTGAGTTGAGAAATGAAATTTCTAAGAAAAACAACTAATGCAATAAATGTAATATGATCATGGTTTGGTGATTTACCAGCTTTTATATTTTTAAAATTTTACCATGTAATCAAATAAACTTTCACGGGCTGAATGGAAGATGCTTGCGGGCCAATATGGAAAACCCTCAACTAGATCATAATTAATAACAACATATTAAAGAATTCTGACAGTCTAAAAGGATGATTGTAAAATGGTATGAACCACTAATGGGAGAAACAATGAAGATTATTGAAATCATAGATGAATGATACATCCTGATGTTGGGAAGGTTATCTGCTTCTTGAAAAAATCTTTAATATTTTACAGAAGACTTCTGGGTCCCACAAATTCATGTCAGGGAAATAAATTATACTAAATATTAAGATCAGTAACCTGTGAACAACTGACGATTGGGCAATCTAGAGGGTATAGGAATATAGTCCTGATTGGGATTATGCAGATGATCATGAATGATAAAATAAAAAATAAAGATGTCAGTTAACCTCCTGTGAAGGTGATGGTTCTGAGGAATCTGAAGAAGGTTGCCTTCTACCACAAAGAGCCAGGTCCAACTGTTCAGCAAGGGCAGTCACCTCTGCGACCCTTTCAGAAATTGCTTCAACAGCAGTTCTGTTATATTCTCTACCAATACTCCTGGAATCAAAATTTTGATTAATTACTAAGTCATTTAAGGATACAATTTGCATATATTTAAATAAACTATAATTATAATGTCTGAAAACAGTCTTCTACAACAGAATTTCTTTAAGAACAAAAAAATTGGCATATTGAGTGCGCATAAAACCTAATTGACATAATTACTTACAAGTTCAGAAGCAAATAATATATTTATATATTTAATGGAAGGGAAAGAAACTAATTTGAGTAACCAAAGAAAATTTATTTTAAATTGAGCAAGATTATAGCCTTTATAGATAGAAATATAACAGGAAATGAGAGAGGAGAGAGAGAAGTTTGTAGTTTGATGTGATAGCTAAAAGGATTAGAACCATTTTAGAGTTCTATCAAATAAGGATTTATTAGCCTGTACTTTTACAAAGTTTTTTTACTTATATTTATAAACCTCATGGATATGAGAGTTTTATAAACCATCGTGTAAGACAGAAAGGGATGGAAGCAATGGCTTGATAATATGAAAACCTCTGCTGGTTAATATTGATTTTGATGCTAAAACAATTGTATGATTTGATAATAAATGTTTTTAAAAAAAGTAAAAATAAAACTCTCTTTTTTTTAACATCAAAAATAAAAAACATTAAAAGCATTATTGAACCGAAAATATTTACAAAATTAATGTTAATCAAAAAGAATGAACAATAAGTTGGTCTATTACTAAAATTAGATGATTAAAAACTATTTAAATAAATTAAAAAATCTAATTTGCTGTTCATGAAAGTAGTAAAATGAATTGAATATTTTGAGGAATGAGAAAAAAAAAAATGCAACTTATAAGTTGTAATGAAAAGGTAGTTGGAACGAACTAATGTATCCAATTTCATAACCGGGGGAACAGGACGGTGAGGAAGTTGTTTTCCTTCCAACATATTATTTAATAAATGAATGTCTGCTTCCTTGATTTTTAATATGCTTTGAGAAATGTTTTCATAACTTTTCAAGTAATCAATTTAAGAAGCCTTTATGCATCTTTTCACAACACATGACTACAAGCAGCCAGAACTGTTCCAAAAATACCTCAACGTTTCCAATCAGCTATAGTGCCTGACTTGTGAATTTATATTTTTTTACGTAATGCTTTGTAGATCAGTAAAAACAAACGCAATAAGTAGACTTTAGAAGGGGCGCAAGATTTTTTTTAAGGAACTATTTGTTTTGATTCTTACTTCAGCATTGGCATAGACTTTCGATTTTGATTGGGGGAGAGCGAGAGGATTGACCAAAAATAAATGTGGGGAGTTTTTACTATCTTAAATTATATTAATTCAACACGAGCAGACCTGTACAAAAATTCGCACAGTATTATATTGTTAAGTGATAAAAAATTAATAATAAAATAAAATAATGCAAGGTATCATAAAATAAATCAATTGTTACTTTCTCGCTAAATATAATCGTAAGCAAACATTAATTTAAAACTTCTTTAATGTTTGGAACCAACATATTTACAAAGTTCAATAAGCTGTATTTTTGCTAATAATTGTCCGATTTCGGATTTCGATGATTTTTTCCCCTTTTTTTAGGGAATTTAGTAATTTATATAATCATGGACATAACCAAGGGAAAAGTTAGTAATACTTGAGTTATTCGCAAATAAAGTTTCTTTACTTTCATAACTTTTTTGCCTCAATTTTCGGGGCGATTGGACTATGTTTCTCGCCTGAAGGGTAAGGAAACCTTCAAAATTATTGACTCAATTTTGTGGATTTGATGAAGAATCATGGATGATATTGCTTACCGACAAAAAAAACACCTTTGATAAATAATATAAACTCCTCTCTTGATCATAGGGAGCTCAAGTCGACGAAATGAGACATGTATTCCATGACAGTACTACAATTAATGTAAGGTTGTGTGAATGCGAATCCTTTGCCAAGTATTATGTCGAAAATAGTACGTTTTGGGGTTTAAAAACGCAAGGCCCGATAGTTTCGAAGGAACTATGCGGATTTTGGTATATGTGTCAAAATCTTCAAGGCCCAATTTGTCCCGTATCGATCTACTATGGACTTACCACCGTTCCAGTATTGAAGTCTTGAAAAATTTTTAAAACGGCTTTATTTATTTTAGAAATAAAAACAAAAGCGGAGAGTACGATTCGCTAACCACCATGAAGTTCTGAATCCAACGGTACCCCACCCCATTCATGGTATTTGAGCATGACAGGGGCTTATATTTACTACAATTTAGATGGGGTTATGAATTTTCGGATTGAAAAGTTTAAAATCAGGAGACAAAGGGAATACATGGAACAAACCCCAGCAAATGTAATTCTGTATAATCTACAGTACTTTTATTTATAATATTTTTAGGAAGAAGATAACAATAAAATATCTTGAGGAGAGGAGGGAGGAGGTTCATGTCCCATTGACTTTGGGGAAGGGGAAGATGGTCACCCTTGACCACAGGCGGATCAAAGGGGGCGAGGGCTTTCGGGCTGAAGCCTCCCCCCCAAATGGTAAAATATTACCATGTTTTACAGAAAAAAATATTAAAAACTATCTCATAAAGTATTCTTGTTCTTGTAATTATATTTAATAGGACTTCAAGAACCACTTAAACACCATTTCATATAGGTAATTAATTTCTTTCTCTTTTTTTCAAATTAATTATCGTTATATGTATATGAAAAAAAAATCTTTCGGGCTGAGGCCTCCCCCAAAATTAAATTCTGGATCCGCTAGTGCCCTTGACAGTGTACCTCCAATTCAACAAAAAGTGGGAATTGCTTTGATCCTACGCACTAGCGGGTCCAGGATTTAATATTGGGGAGGGGGGCTTCAGCTCGAAAGATTTTTTTTCATATAAGTATAAAAATGATTAATTAAAAAAAAAAAAAGAAATTAACTACCTATACGAAATGATGTTTAAGTGGTTCTTGAAGTCCTATTAAATGTAATTGAACGAACAAGAATACTTTAAGAGATAGTTTTTAGTACTTTTTTCTGTAAAATATGGTTATATTTTATCATTTGGGGGGGGGGGGGGCTTCAGCCCGAAAGCCCCTCCCCGTAGATCCGCCTGTGATCCTACGCTATTGAAATATACTTTCTCTTACAAAATAGTATATTGAACTTTCTCTAAATAAAAAAATAAATAATTAAGCTGCTTTAAACCAATTACTAATTCGATGAAGGTGAATAATTCTCTTAAATAAAAAAAAAAAAAAAACTTGCTTATATAAATTTAATAATAGTAATACTATGTATATTAAAGAGAGAAAAGTGACCTGGCTGGAGAGAAGAATACATGTCTTTATTTACTAATATTTGCGGCTCTGGCAGACTGCCCCTATAGAGAGGTCAACGATCTAGATAGCCCATTGAGGGGGCCTCCTGGATGTCAGGATCAGGGCCGGCACTCGGCATATCGATAATAATTCTTTACAGCGAAGGTTGAAATCGATTTTCAGGATTCCATAGCAACCAGTTCTTTAAAAGCTTACTTCATGAAATGGTAAATTTTGTCCATGAAGATATGAACTACCCAATCCCAAATAGCAAAAAAAATATTTTTTCGTCAAATCCGAAACTTTTCTAGTCTAAATCGAACGACTCAATGCTGTTATTTCTCTTATATTTGCATATTTCGTGTTGATCGGTTCTATACATTATCCAATTGCATCATCTTTCTTTGTGAGAAATAATTTAAGAAATATTTTATTTTCTAATGTTATGAAGGTTTGGGTATACGCGGGCATGTTTTAGGAAATGTAATAGCCTTGTAAATCCCTACTTCAGATTTTTGGATTGCTATCACAATCATAAGTGTAATCCTCTTGTTTTTTAAAAATAAGTATTGAACATTGGCTTCATCATTATAGGTGTTATCATGTATTTTTTTTTCCTTTATGCAATTTTACTCAACATTTTATCGAAATTTATGATTAAATCAATATTTTGAATATTGGATGGCCGGAAAAAGTCTTTTCTACATAATGTAGCGCCAATACGGCTCAACAGATTTTGATGAAATTTTCCTAAAATCATCTAATTAAAGCAGTTCATTTATCCTTAGAAAAAAAAATTTCCAGGAAAAATAGGGTAAATCTAATAAAGAAAAGATTTATTTGAGCATAACTTTGAATCCTACAATTTATGGTGATTGACATAACTATTTGAAGGATAATTAAATTCCAAACAAAATTAAGGGAATCTACTAAGGCGTTTAAATAGATATGTAAGTACATTTTCTTATGATGTATAGTTATTTCCGGAGTATTTTTTTTTTCACTTCATTGATAAATCAAATATTACTACAATAATATAATAATAAACAAATAGAATGAAATTTTACTGAATGAAGCAATACAAGAAACAAGAATCCAACCAACCACGGGTGAGGAAGTAAAGGCCCGCCCAGTTGGTAGCTAACACGGAACAGAAATCTGAAAATAATCTGGAACATTCCAGGCCCAGGCTTCGGATATTGGAAGACTAGTATATCCCCGTGAGATATCCCGCATTAGATAGCTATCATTTATCTACATCTAACTATATACATGTACATCTATCTATATCTACATCAACAGAAATAATACGTCAACTTATAAGCAGCATCTGCGAAATATGTTTATTCGTATAGTCTATTCAATAGTAACAATTCACTCAATGAGTGAACCTTGTCCCTCCAGAAAATATTCCTGCAGCTTAATATTTAAGTAATAAGATATAGCCATCCTTGAATTTTCACTAATCCATTATTGTACTCATAGACGCAGACTTTCCTTTTTGATTGAGGAAGGGGGAGAGGTAGGCGATAGACCCAAAACAAAAAAAAACAAAAAAAAAAAAATATATATATATATATATATATATATATATATATATATATATATATAGCGGTTGTATATTATATGTGAAAATTCAACATAATTATTGTGAAACGAACAAATATAATATTGAATATTTAAAAATAAATGTCAAATGTTTGGACAGTTGCACGATTTTTTTTTTTTT